TATATATATATTTAAATTTCAAAAATATTAGAAACTTAAATAATAGAATCTAAAACCAATTAAAAATTTACTGGATTTCTTAATGAATTAATTTATTATTTGTTTCATAAAATATTTTTATTATATTTTTTAACACAGTTTAGTCAAATATCTTTCCCTATTTTTGGATCTAAAAATTCCAGGAATATTCAAAATAAAAGAACTACAATATTGAACATTTCATAGAAAAATAAAATAGAAATCCTTTAGTTCTATAGCTGCCATCATTTAAATATAAAAATTGTTAGCAAACACTAGATCAACTCAAGTCAGTTGACAATGCTGAACCAGTTTCAAAATGATCAACAATTCAAATGATAAACTGACATTTCTCTTATTTCATTTATAATTTGATAATGTAATTTATATCTGATTTACATATCTTAGATACATTTGAAATCATTACAGTTTAAAATGCAAAATTTATGATTATAGAATTACAAATAAGATGAGCATAACACGTGATCTGTAAATGAAACCATAAAACATCATAAAAATAATATAAAATAAAAATNTAAAAAGAGTTTCTAGGGTGGCCAATCAGTTTGCATATATAGCCTTCTAGTATTCTAAATACTAGGAGGCCCTACGCACAAACTGATTAACTATCTTATTAGTTATTATTAATATTAATTATATACAGAATTTTCAATCAGGCACAAATAGAAAAATAATAATGGAATCGTACGAGTCCTCCCGGGAAGACAGATCGCGTTGGGTTATCTTATCAACCCATCCTTAATTAGAAAATCTATCTTCTGGAATTATTTATTTTTTAAATATTTGCGTATTTAGTATTTTAAATCTTCAAAGTTTCATATTTTTAGTAAATATAATGAATAATAATCACATTGATTATTTTCACTAAAGCAGTAACTATAAATCATTCTGAATGTGGTAACGTCATAGATTTACGAGGCGTGAGAAAGAGATGAGACGAGAGACGGACCAATTACGAATGTGGGTTCACCCCTCTTGGAAAACCATCATAATGTGTTAATAAAATCAATAAAAGTATATATATATATATTTTTTTTTTACCAATTTTCGAAAAAAAATTAATTTATATCACACACAAAACATTAGATTTTAGGGTCTTGCGTGTCCCGGAGTCGGATTAAATGTTCCCGCCGACTCTCCTCTATCCGAGTCTGTAGGTGTACATCTTATGCTGCAATTTGAAAAAAATTGTAGATATAAATTCTCACTGTCGTCCGTCTGTCCGTCTGTCTTTCCTTACTCCTGAGAATAGAGTTAGATAGTTGAATGTCGAGACCAGATATGGAAAGATTAGATGCAAGAGGCTTCGATTAAATATATACGAACTTCCGGTTTGCATCGGAATTCACGTTATTTTAATTCAAAAATTTTCCCCCGAAAGGAGTTAGATAAATGACGGCACGACTCTGTTGCTAAGAGGAAAAGTATGATTTACAGGGGTAAGTAAGTCACTGTTAATTTGAGATGGAAAGCATATATTTTAAATGAAATAAATAAAAAATATGATTAAAAATTGCAGCCCGGCATTATGAGAATGTAACAATAAATATCTGTTCGTTATTATTAACAATAACCAAGTATGATCGTTAATTATTGTTTGATTTAAATAGGATATATAATTAATTATTGGTAAAAACTGAAGAATGGGGCATATTTTAAAACGCTAGCTGAACACTTAAAGTTTAAAAAAATCTTATTGAACTAGAAACAATCATTAAAATCAGTAATAGAATTTTGAAGACAGCCTGAAGTATTTANACTTATTGGTGAAAAAATAGGTCAGTCCAGAAACCAGTCCTGAAAATAAATCTATTTATTTTCAGGTCTGATTAAAGAAAGTCATGTCATCGTGCAGTTTTTTAGCTATTGCGTTTAAAGATGTTTATAATAAATATAAGAGACTATATTTTTAATCTTCAATATGTTTTATATTAATAAATTTTATATCAGTTGTTTTAATTCATTCATTACAAAACAGAAATAAATAAATCTCTAAAAATTTCTATACATAAAACAACATGAAACCAAATAAAGATATTTTAATGATTAGTGAGATCACTTAATTCTTTTTTAAAAGAATTAGGCAAATATACATTATATTATAAAATAAGAAGTAAATTAACTTATTACATTAATCAATGATCATAACAATAAATCCTTAATACAGTCAATGAATTTTAAAACAAATTTTTCAAATATCAATCAAATATATATATATACACACAGTGAAATTTTTATAATCAGTTAATTATTTAATATAGAGCATAGTAAAAAAAAGTTTTGTAAATATTTGATAAGAATTTCAAATATTTATAGATTTATTTCATTTTTTAAAATGTACTATAATTTAAGGAATTTCAATATACAGTATACACTTTTATTTTTTAATTAATTTCAATAGTATTTTAATTTTTATTATTTTTTGAACTTAGTGATATATACTAGGTGTGCCCATGTGGCCAGATACTTCATTTCACTGATCAAACTTCAATGGATTTTTCAATTGCATTAAAATATATTCATTACTCTCAGGTATTTTTCTTTTACATATAATAAACAAGTAATCTAAAACTGCTGATTTATATTTTTTAATATAATTAAATATCCCTGGAAATTTTCTGAATTAAAATTTAGGCTAGATTCTTTTTAGAAGTAGCATAAATTTGAATTGATGTTTGAGGTACTACTTGAAATTTTGCCTATCAATTCAAATTTAGCCTACTTCCAAAAATAATCTAGCCTAAATTTTAATTTATAAAATTTCTAGGGATGTTTAAACATACTACAAAATATGAATCAGCAAAGTTTTAGATACTTTATTATAAGTAAAAAAAAACAAAGAAATAAGAAAAACCTTGAGAGTAATCAATGTATTATAATACAATTGAAAAGATCCATTAAAGTTTAATGAGCATATACTCTGACATCAACTTTGCCTGTAGACTTAACATTGTGAACTTTGACCTTGTATATCTGGTCACAGGTCAAATTTTAAAATGCTGTTTGCATCATGACCTAGACCAAGGTGGATTTTTTCTTATGCAAAAAATGCTTTAAATTAGTTAAGTAGTTTTGAAGCAGTTATTAATCATCATACAGACATCAAAGTCATCACTAAGAGAACTTTACTTCACTACACTCAATTATTAAATTCAAATTTATTCTAAATTCAAAATAAAACTTCNTATTTAATAATTCTACTTGTATGTAATTTTTGCTAATGGTTCTGACTTGATTCTTAAATAACGTAAAGAAACTACATTATACATTTTTATAGAAAATCTGAAAAATCTCTTAAATTATGTAAACAATTACAAAGTTAAATATGGAACATATTCTTCTACACATAACACAAAAACATGTCTTTAAATATTGTATACGTCATTCTATATATTGTATTAGTTATGTGTATTAGTCATTATCTGTATTATTTCATGTTTATTGTATATTATCGTTGGGTCGTATGTGTATTCTATATAGTACCTCGAATTATGTGTATCGACTTTATGTAAGTTACACTGACGATCCATTAACACCAAGTTATAAAGGATGCTCTATCCGCTAGCACCATCTGCACGAAAAAATAAGAATTAAATTTATAATATAATTATATATAAAAACGTAATTAACACGATTGCACAATTTATATATGCATTTTTCGCATAATAAAATATGAAGGAAACCACGTTATAAATGAATTTATTGAATACAAGAATAAATAACCTCCGAAAATATTGTTTAAAAAGTTATTTTTGTCAGCGTTACTAAATTACTCGTATTAAAAAAATTATCGTAAATAATTGTAATTTATTCGATTTTTTTAAGTATTAATAATTCAAATCGTGTTACGTCATTAAAAGTAATGATGTCACAAAGAGTTGCAGCGAATTATTAATAAGATCAAGGACGGGAACAGATCTTCCTGCAATTATGCTGACGTAAATCATTCGAGTTAATGTAGTGTGTGTATGGTATGTATAATAACTAAACGGGATGCAATATATGACATTTTAATAAATGTTCTTACGAAAAAGTAATAACTTTCGTTTTCATTTTTAAGAAAAGGCAAGTATTTTCTATTTTAAATATTCATTTATAAATTATAAAATAATTAAAGTTCTGATATCTTATCTTATTAGATTTATTTACGTAGATAAATAATTAAATTTTAATGCATTTTACGTGTAGCATAGTTTCTCTATCTGGTTTTTATTTCCATATCTATTTATTACTAAATCATTTTTAATATCTAAAAACAATAAAAAGCATGTGTGCTGATAACTAAAAATTACAAAAATAATATAAATTGTCTCATAATCGATATTTATATACTTTTGTATACAATGTTTGAGGTTAGCATTTAAGGTTTGGAGTGTCCTATATCATAAGAATATAGATAATAGACAGAGTGTATTATAAAATATTGTACAGGAAATAATTAAAAATTCAAAAAGTAATCGAAGTTTTAATTATTATTTAACATACTGTACTCTACATTTACTTTAAACTGGAAATGTACAAAAGCTTATTTATTTTTTGAATATTTTTATAGTTAGTATATCACACACAGGACTATGTATCCACGCTGTACTGTATTTAATTACAGTACTACACTCTGAGAAATAGTTATTTAAGCGTATAGAATAAAATATTTATCCAAATCTAAGGCTAAATTCTGGCTGGGTTTAGTTTTTCAATCTTATTTAGCCTATTTTACTTAATACGCTATCTACTTAAGGCTAAATATTTTTGTATACAGTTTTAATCATGCATTCGTTTTAAGGTTTGAAGTGTCCTATATTATAAGAGTAGTCGTTAATATAAACAGAATGTACCTACATAGTAAACATATTTATCCTTAGTTTACATAGTAAGGCCGAATGTTTGCACAAGTTGATAAACATTTATAGCATTGCATTACAGATTTATATATTTAATCACGCAGTTTAATGCCAATGAAAAGGTAAAAGTAATCAAAAGATAATATTGATTATAATTTTTATTTTTCAAAGTAAGAGAAATGTGGACACAGAATCTATATTATTTATATATATTATAAACTACGGGAGAACATTTTTATAGTACAAACAGATTGTTATTATGGAAGAATATTATTTTAACTGCTGAAAAAAAGCAATTTTTTTTTTAAAATGACGATACAAAATTTGAATTCAATACAAGAGTTGATGTCATTTTCTTTTTTCTTTGTAGTTTATTTTTTAATACAGTAAACAACGAATGAAATATGTACAAAAAAAGAACGAGAAGTTCTTATATTAAAAAAAGGAATGTGACGGAAATAAATAAGATATGTGTAGTATATAAACACATCCACTCGGACATGTAGTATCAATAAATTATGGAATGTTTAAAGCTTTTACATCAGAAGAAACTTAGACCGGAGGTGACGATGATATATCACAATCTTTCCTTTCTTTTAATCTCCGGTTTACAGAAGAATAAATTTGATGAGAATTTTTTTTATATATAGGAATTCATCTCGAATCACTACACTGTAAGAGTTCCAGATAAAGTTCGGATTGCAAGAATCTTAAATACGAGTCCTGTTCCATCAAAGCCTGAATTCTCCTTTGAGCCTGATCAAAAGAATGTCTATCGGGTGTAGCCAGACTATTCATAATGCTATTTCGTATCGTCAAGTCCAAGTTTACCTATAGAAAACAAAGCTTTTATTAGACTTATTCCGTTAAAAACAAACTATTGTCTAGTATAAAAGTTATTGTAAAATATCCTTACCTCTTTAGGCGACTGTGACGCTACGAAATCATTATAAATTTTCCTAGCTTTAGACGATAACTTATTCGTTCTGGCTTTCTTAAAATCTTCGCACGCTAACCAAAATTCTATATTTTCCTCGCTGAATTCTCGAGACAAGAAAGCTCTGAACAACGCTTGACCGTCTGTTAAAAAACAAGGGGAAAATAGGTGAAAAAAGGGTGGAGGAAGAAGAACAAAGAGAAAGTTCGACGATCAATCTAACTTACATTTACTTGACATCAAATCTTGAAAAGAATCCGCCCATTTCTGCGCTTCCTCAGGAGAAGGCCTGACAGAATTTTGAATAGACGAATCGGTATGACGTCGACGAAGAAAAGTCAAGCGGAGTTTCGTATCTTGCGATCTAAAAACGGGATAAAAAAAAGTGTCGTTTAGACGACCACTCTCCTCTTTCCACGGTTAATTAACACTAAGCGCGACGGACTAAGAGTGACGCTTACAGTTTTTTCTTGTGTTTCTTCTCGTCGTCGTCTTTAATCCCGGTCGACGACGCGGAATCTGCTGATTTTGTCTTGGAAACCGGCTGTAAATAAAAAGAAAATAACAAATTAACACGGCACGTAAGGATGCCGATAGGTTTAAAGGGTAATAATCGGTTTTAAAGTCTGGCAATTTCTCCCCTCTGGCATTAAAAAAGAAAAGGAAAAAAATAAGACCGCAAATGACGTAAGCGCGTCATTTATAGCACCATATAAATATAGCCCTTTTCCTTAAACCGCAAAACTAAAAGAAAAAAAAAGAAACAAACCAAATTTACGATATAGAGAAGTAAGGAAGAACACCCGCCGTCGTACATCAAACGTTCGTTCGTCATTACCGACCTTCGTACGTTTCCCGCCCGAAATAGATTCGAAATTTACACAAGAAGACACGGCCAGCAAAGAAAGATACAATAGAAAGCGTCCCAATGGAAACGGACGAATCTCCCGAGTATACGCGGTGACATTTCTGTAGCAAATTTCGAAAGGAAGGTAAGACGAGACGAAGGTAGTAACGCAAACCGAAATGCCTAATGGAAAGCAACTTACCACGATCAATACCTGCAGCATTTTGCCTAAGAAGTGTCCTATTAGATGCCAACGGTTGAGAGAAGTCGCGCTATCCTTCGCCACGTAAGCCACTTTTGCTAGATATCCCGCCGACGGGTGTTTAAAAGCTACCTCCCGACTACTCGCACCTAGACTAAATAAACGTCGACGGTCCTACGTCATTCCCGGCTCGCGCCGCCAATGGTTTACCGCTGCCGGTGACGTCACCGCCAATAGCAGTAGCGGATACGCGCGCCTCTTTCCTATTTTTAAAAAATTCGTATTCGATTTTCGTAAGTCCTTGTAAACGTCTGGCAACGACTACGTTAATGTAACTAACGATTCGGCTCCGGCTATTTTTTGGCCACGGACGAAGTGGCTCGGGCTTATAATCGCTGGTTCCGTGCCATTTATTCCTCGTAAATCGGTCGATATCCCTTATTAAACGGAAAAGAAAAGTCCACCCGTCTTCTTACCAAATCGGATTAATCACGTAGGCGACGGTCGTTACTCGTTTAACAAAAAAAAAATTAACTAAAATTAATTTTTTTACTTATTAGTTTTTGCAGACCGTCGGTAGACGAGTAGAGCGATCGGGCATCGCCTTGCGTATCCTTATATAGATTTCCACAAATATCCTCTCGCTCGCTTCATTAAACTTAACGATGAGGTGAGAAATCGAGGGTTTTGGAACGGTATTCTTTCTGGTTTATTTTTGTACCCGGGCACTTCTGGAAAAGTTACAAATTATGCGCGAAATTTAATTATCGATTTCTCTGCTCGCCTTTTTTGCCTGTAAAAAATCCAACGACCAGTTGCTTAACTTTCCGGCAACTATCTATTATAATATTTTATTTAAAAGACTTTGTATTTATAAAATGGTAATAAGTTTAATTTTGGAGTAGGGGTGAGAAAAAATTATAAATGCTAATAACCAGTAAAATCGTCATTAAGTCCGACCCTACTGGAGATACGACACGACCCTTTTATCTCCCCACCCCTCGACCTTTAATCACCAAAATGCAACGGCATCGATCTAATTAAACAAACCTCTTTGCAAAATTTCAGAAATTTTCGAAAAAACGCGCAGGAGTTATTAAGCTTCAAAGAGGGTGAACAAAATCGTGCCCCCCACACACATACAGAAAAAAAAACCCGAATTTTATTGCATTTCTCGACGTTTCCAGGTCTCCCGAGTGGAAAAATGTAAAAATCTTGGGGTCATTTTTTTGACCGATGGCCATACTTTCCCTCTGTTATACGTAACAACCGGGAACGTAAAGTACAAAAACTAAATGCGTGGCCAATGACCTTTCGTTTACCGACCGGACGTTAGTACTTTACTACGAAGTATCGCTTCGTTTTTCTAAATATTAGAACATATTTATTCTTTCTCCTTCGATTTCGTATTCGTAATTAATTAATTAATCTGTAATTATCATATCAGCGAGGCCGAAAATTATGCAACAAAATCATTAATGCTTGTTGTATAATCGGTATATTTATTATTTTAGTCGATACACGTATCATTGATTAAAATAATTTTAATCGGTATTTACTTTAATTTATAATTAATTATAACTAACTAAAGTATTTTCTGATATAAATGTCGACAAATATTAAATACGGTAAGTTTATTTAAATAATATACGTTATATTTAACATTGTTGTGGCGCAATTAATTTTTCTGCGGGGAGGCCCGATTTGGTTAAATGCGAATTGGTAAAAACGCATCGATGAGCCCAAATTTATTTTAAGGCGATTTATAACATTACTAAAATTAAAATGGATGAGTAAACGAAGGTGACGATGTACTAAACTTCGTGTCGAAATACGTATGATTTACATTCGGTAAAACGTATTTCGAGGACTGGCCCGTAGTGAAAAAATGTCGTTAGAATTAGCAGCGGAAGCGGAATTTTAATGCTTTTTACAGAGCCGCGACCATCGTAAATCATTGCTTCCATTACTATCGTGAACAATGCGCTCTCATCTGGTTTTCTTCCTCCTTCTCTTCTTTTTTTGATTTATAAGTCGCGGTCCTTAACTGGTTGCGCTCTCTACTCGTTTCTTCGTTAGCGAATATACTCTCGAGGCGAGTGTGGGTGAAAGCAGTCAAGGTTACGCACTTCGAAATAGCAAATGGTGAGTCAAAGTTGAACCGTAAGAGGTCACGTATGACGTGCGGGACGTGTAAACGAAACACTAACATATTGACTGATCGACCGCTTACAAACCTCTTCGTAATTCAAATCTGTTCCGAAAGGAACTAATAAATATTTATGAGCGTTATAAGCTACATTTTTAAAGCGTTTCCCGATGTAACCCATTAGAAAAGTCGTGTTAAGAAGCGATGAAAGATGGGTGAGGGAAGAGCGCGCGCACGTTTTAGCATGTGTTAAGCACGTGTGACCGGGGAATTAAGATAACACCTGCAACGTTATACCGTGCCTTAGCGATTAAACGATGACGAGTATTTACGGACGATGTTTTACGGTCGAAGGAATCGACGCTCTTATTACTACTGGCGTGACGTCATAATATTTCTACCGCAATTTAAAAGCGATCAGTCTACGAGGGATACGGGAAACACCCGCCGGGGGTTTAAACCGCGGCCAACTAAAAATAACGTCGACGTCACAGATCACGTGCCGGAAAGATTATAACGCGCGGAACAGTCGCGGTAGAAATTGGGTCAGTGGCTGTGACGTCGTGTGACGACATCGGAGAAGAGTCGATTAGTCGAAAGTGCAACGACCTATCGTTTATTATTAATAATTTTGCTTAAGCTTATTACAGTTTATCAAACGTTTAACGATTAATTAGAGTAAACACCTCCGATTAATTTTTCCTATTTGTGCGCATTCTTCTATACGAAACCACCGTCGTGCCATATTGCAAATTAGTACGTTCGTAGTTCTGCACTAAATCATAGCTAAAATTACCTAGAAAGCACGAATTGTTAAAGTCCGTACCGCATTATAGCTCGCGCTCGTTCAGCCGTATATTGTACTACAGTACTGTGACGTAGCAATGACGTCAGAAACCCGGACGGACGAAAATCCGAGGCGAGAGCAGTGGCTGCGATGGAAAGTGGGTCAACGGGTGCTTAAAAAGTTCGATTTTGTTAGGTACGAAAATTTTTATAATCTACTTCCCTCACTACCAACTTCGATTGTTTATTACCGGGAAAGTAATGCGAGGAAAAATACGGAATTAACGTCAGCGTGACGTCACTCTGGTAGCCATAAATTGTTATCCGAAATCAAACGACCGAAAAAGTACTATAAAATTTTAAATACTGTACTTATAACTTGGTCAACTTTTCCTTATTCGAAACAAATCATAAAAAAATTGCGAAAGGTACAAGACGGGTGGGTTAAAAGGTACTGTACAGACACATAAGTTAAACACTAGTTGCAATTATTTTTACGCGCATTGAGAGTTACAAAATGCATTATGCAATGGTCAAATCTGCCCTTAATCCAGCCGAGAAACGTTAATATTTCGCGTAGCGTACTATTTCGCCTCTTTAACCTAATTCTTTTTTTTCCTTATCCCATTAAATTCAACTCTCCAAATTATAAATTACGATCATCAATCATTCTGTAAATCATAATAAAGGTTACTTTACCAACACTCGGAAGCAGAAAAAGGCGTCATTCACGATTTTGTATAGACAATCGACACCTATTTTCTACCTTATAATTTAATTCTATTCTTATACTCCAATGCTATTTATAACCGGAGATGAACATCGGTTTATTTATAGATCAAGGATAATTATACTGTATATATACGTTTTTATAGACCTATATATATACCTGCGAATGATTTAGACAAGGCCAATGGCTATTGTGTCGCTAAAACGTTTCGATCTTGGAAAAATGAAAGTACTGTATATATTTAATGAAAAACGTGTCTGTAAACACGTCAAAAACACGACGATGTAAGGTTACTATCATTATCGTGTACGCGGATTATGACGAATAGCAGAAGCCTGGAAAGTAAATGCCAATTAAACTGATAATTAATCGTGTACGTGCGCGTAAATTGATGCGTTTTATTTAATTTTTTCCGCACTACGTGCCTTCTACGTCGAAATCCTAGATACTAGTTCGATGACCAACCGTACGGTACCCCGATGTATTTACTCCGATTTGTATTCGGGTGATGATTCGGTTTTTCGGCAGATGTAACATTAATAATAAAAGGAATTTCCGTCATATAGATACATTCTTCGGCTACCATAGTAACGTACGAGGAACCATACCATTGAGAAATTAAAAAAATGGCGTAAGCAAATAAGAGAACCATCGATTACTTTAAGAGACTACATAAGTAAATAAAAGAAAATCACGCAAACCGAGTAAAAATAAACTTTAAAAAAGAAATTCTTTTTTAATCATCGAACCGATTTATCACAGTTTGTTTTAGAATAGAACAAACACCTGTTAAAATAATAAAAATAGAAATGTCAAGGAGGGTAGATAAA